ATTTAGCTAATTTACAAAATTCATTTACTCTCTTCTCATCTCCTCGCTTTGGTATAAATGAAACAATTTAATAGTCAACTTTTGACCACGTAAAAAGAAATGTAATCTACTGCTGAAACTGTTGTAACATAAAACACTACTTTTATTTTCTTCTGTTGAATTTTTTTTTATCTAGATCCGATATTTTACTAAATCAATACATGCACAATATTTGACTCTATATACAAATTTATTATTTAAGCATTATTATGTTTATTGAATAAATAAATGTAAAATATTTGCTTTTATGTTAAATCTATTATCTAATTAAACATAATAAATTTATATTCTCACAAAACTTGATCTTTTTTGAGTTAACGTCCCGCAATTTGGTATAAACACGATAATTTTTCGTTTTTTTTACACGTGATTCAAAAATGATATAACTATACTATTCTAACTTCTAAGATACTTTTAACTTAACATATCATGATTTCTAGTATATGGTTTTTCTTCATTTGGAATTGATATTCAGATTCAAAAAAGATATGTTAATTTTTCTTTTTTTTGGTGAACTGAATATATATATATATATATAAAGCCAAAAGGAAATTACAGTATTGTCTGGGAGCTGGTGCTCCCTAATGTAATGTTACCAAAGTCTTGACCTACATAATTGTTTATCCTTACATTACGGATAAATACAGTTCCTAGGATGTCTGCCCATAGTGCTTTGTTTACAAACACCGAAGGAACTGTCAAAGCTACTGTCATATCAAAAGCCACCTAATTTTGCTCCCTGTATTCATGCTGCAGTGCTGGATTCCCCAGCTGCTCCATCAAGGACATGCATCCATGAATAATAGACTTAAAATGCAAATTACCTTCATTTAACAATCTGGTAACTTGTGCAGAGTCAGTAGAGATTATTAGCGGTGTTAGCTTGTGCTGGACTGCTAAAGTTAGCCCCTGGTAAAGGGCCTGGATTTCAGCCTCGAGGGCTGTGGTGTGGGGTAGCCTGTCATGTAGTCCATAACCCTGTCGCCCCTGCTATTCCTTTCAACTCCCCCAATTACCCCTACTCGTGATATTGGGCATCCTACCCCATCAATGTTGAGTTTAAATGTGCCATTAGGGGGTGGCTTTCATTTAACATGGATCCTCTCGTATCGGTCTTAACCTTAAGATTCACCGCCACATGAGAGTATTCTGTGGCCCTAGCAATGGTCTGTTTTACGGGGACATTGTTCTTTTTGTTTTCAAAAAGGTTGTTATTCCTAATTATCCATATTCCCCAGAAGCAGAATGGTAGCAGTGATTTCCAGGTGATAGCACTGTTTTAATGCATGTTCTTGATTCTGTGCCAAGTGTCCTCTCATTGAGACATTGAGAAATTAAGGTGAGTGTGGGAGGATACATTGGTACATTTCGTAGTTAGAGATTTCCAGAATGTCTTAGCATTTTTGCATTCGAAGAAGATGTGGTTAATATCTTCCACTGCAGAGGCGCATAGGTGGCACTGGGGGTTGACATGTAATCCTATAATTTTCAAGTGCAAGGCAGTGGGGAGTCTATTATGTTGCATCAACCAGGTGAAGAATTTGATCTTGTTAGGGACTCCTAGTTTCCAGATCCAGCTAAAGGTATCTTCTTGGTTAAAATCGGGGGTGATTTCTGAACCAATCAGATTGTAAGCTGATTTTGAGCTGAAAAGCCCATTGTTGGTGAGGTTTCGAATGATATGGTCCTCGGTGTTTAAGGATGTGGGAATGAAGATGGATTGAAGCACCTACTTGATGTCCATGGGAATGGGGTAGTGAATAGCATCAAAATTTCATTCCCCATTGTTGGGGATAGAATTTATCTTGATGGTAAGGTCATTATTCTGCGAAGGCCCCTAGATGATTCTATTGAGGGGTTGCATATTTGGGATCCATTTATCAGAGAGGATGTTGACTCTGTTCCCTTTGTGGACAATCCATCAAGAGGCCTTAAGGCAAATCTTCCATCCTTCTTGGATACACTACCAAGTCCTAGCTTTTGGTTTGGCTCTAGTTTGGTTCCCACTACAGTATTTACCAATCAGGACTCTAGCCCACAATGTGCCAGTGTTGTTGTAGAGCCTCCAGGCTAGAGTGGTAATGTTAGCTTTGTTCTTGATGTGGGTTTGCTGGATTCCCAGGCCCCATTTAGGCTTGGTGATGGTATTCCATTTGATCATATGAAGCTTTTTTTTTTCAGTAGTTGTTCCCCAGATAAAATTCATTTGGATTCTATCTATCTGGTTAAAGATGTGGGATGGCAGCTTTATGTAGCTCATAACATGGCTGGGAATGCTGCCAAGGCTTGATTTAGCCAAAGTTGTACGCCCAGCCATGTTCAGCATTTTGATTTTCCAGCCTGCTAGTTTGGAGTTCATACTGTCAAGAATAAATTGGAAGTCTTTGTTGGTGGATCTTTTAGGAAGATTGGAAAATCCAGTACTTACCAAAATCTTTGCTTTTCCTAATTCCTAACAATGAGCTGCATGTGTTAGCCCAGTCCTCATGGTAGTTTTTTGAGAAGATAACCTTAGATTTCAGGAAATTGAGCTTTTGGCCTGATACATTATTAAATTCCTCTAAGGTAGTCAGGATAGCTTCACTGTTCTTTTTTGGCTCTTCCAAATAGTGTGAGGTCATCAGCAAAAAAAAGTGAGAGATTTTAGGGTCATTCCTGCTGATGGTAATTGGGAGCCATTCCTTTCTTAGAACAGTTTGGTCAATGTCTCTTGAAAGCCTTTCCATGCAGATGATGAATAGGTAGGGGAAGATTGGGTCTCCCTACGTAATGCCCCTTGTGGGGTTGAAAGGTTTAGTTTGACCACCATTTACCAAGATTGATATTGAAGAGGTGGAGATGCAGGAGAGGATCAGATTTGTTAGCTTAAGTGGGAATTTGAAGAAAAGGAGTGAGTCCCTAATGAAGGACCACTCAAGTCTGTCAAATGCTTTTTCAAGATCAATTTTGAGGATCATGTTTTCATTCTTCCCTTTCATCTTTTGGAAATGGGTGATGTATTCCTGAACAATAATGGCATTATTTGAAGCCCTCCTGTTAGAGAGGAAACTTGCCTGAGATGGCCCTATAATAGTATGAAGGATAGGTTTGATCCTTTTAACTATTATTTTAGTGACCAGTTTGTACATAGTGCTGCACAACCCTATAGGTCTAAAGCTCTTCAGAAGGGTATTATTTTGTCCTTTAGGAATCAAGCGCGGGAGAGTTCTGTTAACCTCAGATGGCATGGTTGAGGTGGTAAAGACTTTGTGGTAGAAAAGGTTAACTTGGGTTGATAGCATAGACCAGTATTTTTGGTAGAAAAAAGGGTACAACCCATCAGGACCAGGTGCCTTGAGTGGTTTGAAAGAGTTCATGGCTACTTTAATTGCAGAGTTTCTAAGTGGTTGATCTAGGGCCTCTCTCATGCTGTCAGAAAGATTTTAAGGAGTATTCTCCCTATGAACTGTCTTATGGGTGGATGAAATATGGGATATGGTGAAGAGACTCTGATAAAAAGATCTGGTAGCCTCTTTGATAAGTTTAGGGTCAGTGATTTGGTTACCCACCTCATCAGTCAATCTAAGGATCCTATTCCTCCTCCTTCTGTTAATAGTGGTGGTGCGGAAGAATTTAGTGTTTGCATCACCTTGACAAAGCCAATCGACTCTGGATTTCAGCTTCCAAAAGTGTTCCTCATTTTGAAGGATTGCCGAGTATTCAGCTTGAATATTGGATTCTAGGTTTTGCAAGAAGGAGCTGAAAGGGTAAACACTAGCTTTCTGGATGCCATTCAATCTAGCTAGAAGGTGCTTCTTTTTATGGAAGATGTTACCCTTGTTCTCTGCGGTTGCATTTGACTTAAAAGTGTTGGTAGCTTCCAACAAGTCATTTGAGGAGGTGAAGCTAGTATGCACTATGTCTTGAAAGTCAGGGTGACCACACCACATAGTCTCTAGCCTAAATGGTCTACACTGATTATTGAGCTACGTACTAGAGATGCTTAAAAAAAGAGGGCAGCGGTCAGAGTGGGTCCTAGGGAGGTGGGTGACTGAGGCTTCTGGAAAGGAGTTAATCTAATCGTCAATGGCAAGGCACCTAACCAATCTCTCAAGGATAAGGTCCAACCTGTTGGTGTACCTCATGTTGGACCACGTATATTTTGAGCCTTTGAAGCCCAGGTCAACTAATCTACAGTGGTTCAGGCAGCTCCAAAAACGGTTACATCTATTAGTACTAATGCTATTACCCCCATGTTTATCTCTGGCTTTTAGGACTTCATTGAAGTCCCCTCCTACAAGCCAACTCCCTTTATAGATAGATGCCATATCCTCAAGGGCTTGCCATAACCTAATTCTACCATGTAAGTGTGGGCTAGCATAGATAGCAGAGAAAAGCCACTTATGGTGATTGAGGCTTACCTTGATCATTGCATGCACACCCTAGGGAGTGGTACAGACCTCCTTAAGCATAACTAGGTCTTCTTTCCACATCACCACAATTCCTCCTGATTGGCCCATAGCAGGGGATTGGAATTGTGCTGAGAATTGAAGCTCAGCAGTTAAGTGCGCGTGATCAACCATTCTTGTCTCCAGGAGGACAAGGACTGCAAGCTTATGCAATTTCACTATGGAGGTGTAGTGTATGCAGAATTCAGCACTGTTGGCCCCTCTAGCATTCCATATTAAGAAGTTCATCAGCAACTGATTTTGAGTTAGGGTCTTCCTCTTGAGTCCCTTCCTCTTTCCCACCAGGGTTGGTTTCACTCCTCCCATTACAGGGCTTATTGCAACTGTTGATTTCCCTAAGCTTGGAGATAATGGAGCTTGGAGATTTAGCTTGCAGCTTACTAGCTTTCTGGGGCAGAGAGCAATAAGCATTTCTCCGCACTACTCTTTGAACTCGATCACCATTGCCTCATGCATGGGAGGACTGATGTTTTTGGGACTCCTAGCTTTTCCAAGATGCTTTCTAGGTCTGCGTTAGATTCTCTTAGATAGCCCAGGGTTTGGTTCTTCTCCTTTATTAACAGGTCCATAGCTGCATTCTTGTTTCCTAGAGGGATATTTTGTGGGTTCACTGTTGTGGGAGTGGGTTGGTTCACTTGGGGCCACAATGTGAAGGCTGGTGATGGGAGGGGATTGCTCAGATCCATCAGAGGGAAGAAAAGCATTGTTTGGCATAGCTGGCCCATGAGGGAGTTGAGCTCCTCTACCGAGAGGAGTTGTTAAGAACTCATGTACTGGGCTTGGAGAAGTGTGGATTGCCATAGCTAGTGTCCAAAGTTGGACAAACCTTGATGTAGTAGGTGGGTTGCTAGTCGTTCCAAATAACGGGGGTGTTGAATTGTGATGGAGATGGGTACTGGACCCACCATCATGTGTAGGGTTTGAGAGTGGCCTTGCAGGGCCATCTCCATCCATGACTCCGGCATGGAGTTGGGTGGTATAGGGATGGTGGAAAAGGTCAGAAGGTGGTTGTTCGATGGAGGGTTTGGGTTGTTCGGAGTCGACATTGGGAGGATATTTTTGGGGAAGTTCTCCGGTTGAGCAGTGGGAAGAAGGCATCTCTTTCATTTGCCTTTGTATAAATTATTTGGGGGCTATTAGGATTCGTGAATTGTCGATTAAGATCTTTGAGGGAAGTTCTCCGGTTGAGCAGTGGGAAGAAGGCATCTCTTCATTTGCCTTTGTATAAATTATTTGGGGGCTATTAGGATTCGTGAATTGTCGATTAAGATCTTTGCTCAATCTTGGAGGAATGACACTCAGTGTCACTTCGCTGATGGGAAAATGAGAACGATTTCCCCTAGGCAATGATTTCCTCTATTGAGATGTGTACAACCTGTGAGGGTTTGATCAGGGTTTAAGTGCAGGTTTGGGAGAGAGAGTGTTTGGGTAGGTAGGCTGGATGGGTGGCCCACTGTAGAGTGATTGTTAGGGGGCTTTGATGTTAGGGTATAATTACCCAAATCTGGGTAAATATCGAGATCAGAGATACTACTCGATTTTTTTTTTTTGGGGGGGGGGGGGGGGGG